CCCCGCTTTCTGCGACCCAGCCATCCGCATCTGATGCAGACGTGAATGCAACACGTTTCAAGGAGGTGAGTGAGGAGTAACGCACATCATCCGCACTGCGCTTCTCCTGCACCCTCCCCCATCCGCTTCTACTGAACACATGCTCCACACCTTTCCCACTGCTTCATTGCGACTGCATCAGCTCAAGCCTGTCTGCGTCGAGCTGCTCTCCAATTGCCCTTCTTCTGCGTCTGGCAAGGTGCAGCCTGGATCGCACCCTCGCATCCGACAGCTCTTACATCGACTCGACTTGTTGCTGCAAGGCTACACCACCCTTGCACAGCCACAGCCCTCCTCAGAGGCACTCGACTCCCATTCCATCGCATCCACATCTCATCTGCGCATCATTTCACATCCACCGCTTCGTCATCCGCTCTCTCTGAGCCTCATCAACTACATCTTCTATCCATTAGCCCAACTCTTCAAATCCGATGCAGACGGAAAGAGTGGTGCACTGCCCGATACCATACGCCAGCAGCTCTTTCGGTGCCTCGCTCTGCTGGCTCACGACTGGTGGTCAGCATTCACACCAGCACAAGTCGCAGATGGATTAGGCAAAGCGAATGAGAGCTGGAAAGTGTGGCATCAACTCTTGATTCTTGGCGTCGTCGCCTTGGTTGGGTCGCCTGCAGTACCGCACCAGGGCACCACCCAGGCTAGCCAAGAGACCCAAACAGCCATCATCGACTTCTTGCTTGCACTGTTGGCACCCCGCATCGAAGTGTGGCGCGGGAGCCAGACGAGCAGCAGTCGACCTGACCAAGAGGGGGAGTGGGAGTGGGAGTGGGACGGCGTGTCGGAGCTACCGCTGCAGGATGAAGGTGCAGTGGACGATGGGCACAATGGAGACGGCCCCCGCGCTCGAGCATCGTCGCACGTGCATTCATCTACCTCTCCTCTTGCTAGCCGATCCGATTCAGGCTACCAGCGCTACCCCTGCGAAGCTCACGTCAATCATGCCATCACTCAGGGTTCCAGCAAAGGAGCGCTGGCACACGCATTGTCTGGTGCTTTGGATATAGCCAGCGGCGCAAGCGGCTCTCGACTGCTCACCACCTCAACCCGAACGCGAGCTGTCTCACTCGCTAGAATCATTCTTGTCGTATGGCTCACGGGGGTGCGTTTGGACAAACGCGGTCGTCTGCAGCACTTGAGTCGCGATGCCGCACGGGGGACAGGCGTGGAAATTGCGCGATTGGCACAACGAGCGACGACATTCCTGCCGGGATATGTGAGCTCCATGACTAGGACAGCCGTCGGGCAGGTTCGCAACACCTCTCAAAGTGCTAGCACGGCGCTAGGAGACATCACAAAGACTCCCGGAGCTCTGGTAGCTGCTGCACTTGACGCGTCGAAAGACGCGCTTCTGGTCACCGTGGCGGATCATCTCGGCCTGTTAGCCGAATGCTCCCCTCTGCCTGATTACGCAGGAGACGCAGGAGACAGGGCAAGATTTACGGATTTGGTCTCGATGGTGGAGGCTGTGCAACTAGATGAGCGAAGCTTGGGCGTGCCGCTGGATATCACAAAGGAGCGCTCTGGCAACGCCAAGGGCGCCACTGTCGGTTCGGACGAAGTTCTTGCGAGCATACAGACCACGCTGGAGCGCGTCGGCGCTGCTTTGGCCGCCATGACCGGTGTAGTGAAGCACCAACACGCATCCGCTCAGCTCGCCGCAGTACATATGGCGAGCGAGCTGTTGACGCACGCGGGCAAAACCCTCGACCTGTCCACGCATTTTGCGACAATGTCAACAGACCACTCGAGCACTTCGCGCATGCTCTTTGTGTGGCTCTTGGATATCAATGCCTCTCGTCTCTCAGCCACCATTGTCGTCGAAACTGCCAGGAACGCTTTGAGCGCCTTGATCACCAATGAGCAGGTGTCTTCGTCCCGATTGGCCAACTGGGCACAAATCGAGCTTGCGGAGAGTCTAAGGCGCCTACCTCGTGCAATTCTGACGCACGATGACGAGAACACCACCTTGCTCGCAGGTCGTTTGGCTGCTCTCGTCCGTTGCCTGTCTGGGGATCACCACCTGGGGCCCCAATTCGTGACTCTGTTCACGTCAATGAGTGTGATGGAGCGACTCACAAGTCAGCTTCTGCCTGCTCTCGTACTTGGATCCGTCGATGAAGCAGCTGAAAGAGCTAGCTACATAACGTTGCGCCATGTCGACAAGCTCACCACGTACGCTCTTCTAGACATGTTGATAGACGTCGGCAAAGGCTTAGCCCAGGTCAGTCGACACAGTGGATCCGTAGCGACGAAGCAGAAAATAAAAGACTCTTTCCAGCTTGTCGTGCACTTCTTGACTTTGGGTCAGGCAAGGAGAACATCACTGGGAGTAGCGTCGGATGGTGCTTCCCATGACAGACGCCTTTCGGCTTCCGCGCTTCTCCTCGCTAGTCAATTGATGGCTGGCATTGCGCAAGCCCTTGGAGATGAAACGACACGAGCGGCAACCGGACGCGATGGCAAAAGAGCTCGCAAGGCTGCCCATCGTTTGGCGCGCGATGCAACGAACGCGGTGATCGACATGTGGGAAGCAGATCAGGATCAGCTCTTGATAGCAGATCAGTATCACGATGGACTCACTGGACACCAATACGGGGGTTTGGATGGGTCTGCCGATCAACTCTCCACGACAGCGATTTCTGGAGTCGAAATAGAGCATCGCAAGGGCTTACCCCACGGTCACCAAATGCCGACGGAGCTGGAAAAGGCGGGTGCAGTACTCGATCTGAGTTTTGTTGAGTCTGCACACCTTGCAAAGAATGAGTCTGCACCATCAAGGCACGCTGCGTTGGCAGCAGCAATGGACGATGCCGCAATGCAGCTGCAGTGTGGAGACGTTTTGCTCTTTTCCATCGTCGGGTCGTGCTCAGATTTACTGGGCATCTCTTTCCGGCCTTTGCTCTTGCACACACTCTATCCCTTGATCTGCGGACTGGCATCTTCCAGCGGTGCAGTCGCTCAGGCTGCGAGCAGGACTTTGCAAAGAGTCGCAAAGGCATGTGCGTACCCGGATATGCAAAGTCTTGTGCTCCAGCATGCGGACTACATACTGGGTGCAGCTAGTCACCGACTCGTCGCTGGACTCGGTCCAGAGCTGCAAGCGGTCACTGCAATCACCAAACGAATGCAGATTGAAATTGCAGGCGAGGATGCAAAGAAGTCCGCCCTGACGCACGAGCTGGTTCGAGCACATTACGGCAACAAAGTACTTCTTCCAGCACATCAGACGTTGACACCGCTCAACAGCGCCCAGACTGCCCCGCTCGTCCTCATCGAGGTGCTGAGGCTGCTAGGCTCGGACGCGCTTCCGCTAGTCGAAGATGCTGTCGACGAAGTGTTGGATGCGCTGGACCGGTTTCATGGCTACGACGAGCTTTGTAATGGGCTCCTTGGGCTGCTGGATCGAATGCTGGAGGTCATGGCTATCGAGAAGGCCAATACATCCACAAAGCAGCGCGCGCCGTCGAATCTCAGCACGCTGCCTAGTCTGGCGTCGGAGTTGGCGTCTTTTGACAAATGGTACCGTGGACGCAAGTCTCCTCACGACCACGACAATGTAGAGCCACCTCTGGTCTCTGAGCCAGGCGCGGGTCTGGAACATTCGGCAGAGGCGAAACGGATGGGGCCGGACGACAATCCCGACGCCCCATCACGCACACAAGCTGTTACGTCCAACATCCTGGCAAAGTGCGTGCCATTCCTGAGTCATTCCTCGCCACTGCTTCGCGTGACAGTCTTGAGGTTGCTGCGGCGGGGCGTGTCGATTCTTGCGCCGCAGGAGAGGCACGCTGAGATACTCGCAGTCATCAACCCTGCATGGCCGGTGCTCTTGACCCGTCTGGGCTCACCTGTGACACTGCAGACCTCAGCACGAAGAAATGCGAGTGGTGAACAGCTGCTCGATCGATTTACGGAGAGAGATCCTACCGTCTGGGTGGAGAGTGCTAAGCTGATGGAGGAGTGTGCCACTCATTTGCCGGACTTCCTTGGCAGGAAAATAGTGGAGGAGGTATGGCCCCGGCTGGACGCCTTACTCGAGGTGTGCGCCACCCTGCAAACGCTGGAGAGCCGCCGCTTAGCACAGCGAGGACCTGTCTCGTTCAGCCTTGCCTCACCTTTAGGTGCACAAGCTTCTTCACCGCCACATGCCCCGCGACTCCAAACTCTGCCTGCCCTCAGCTCCAAATCTGTTCAACTCTTTCCAGAGTTTAGCACAGTTGGCCGCCTGCTACAAAGTGTGGCCTCGACCATGGCTGCGCTGGCGAAGCACATGAATGTGCGCATGACTGACGCGACGGCTTGGACGATTCTCAACCAGCCTCAATTGCTCTGCGCCTTGGATCGACGACAGCCAAAAGCGATATCCGAGAGCGCAAAAAAGTTGCTGGAAGCAATGGAGCTACGCGACGCAGACTTGGTGTGGGCGGTATGGTGGAAATCGCAGGCCAATGGTCACCTCGAAGTGGCGACAATATTTCACGACGTGATGTCTCGAAGCGCAGCGGAGGCGTAGGTCGTGTCGCATTTGCACGTTTGACTCTGAAACCTGACGAAAGCGCACTACATTTTAGGCGCTAAATTGGCCCGCTGGGGTCAATAGATCCAATCTTGACTGGCGGGAATTGTCCAAACACGTACGCGGCCAGCGGACACTAGCTCCTGGCCTCAATTTCATCGACGTTCATCATCGCTTCGAAATGCGTTCGTGTGCAATCACGAATGGCAAGCCCTGCATGCCGCGATACGGCTATCGAGACGGCCGCTTCGAGCGCATTTCAGCTCAAAATCGATTTCATTGGTGATTTGGCCGCCTGTGCCGGAAGCCATGGCGCGCAATTGCTGCTGCGCCGCGATAACACCACGAAAGCGTCTCCGCGCAAGTGGCGACAGCGCAAGGTAAGATTTCTCGCGCGTGATCATGCCGGCATACGCCGCAATGGACACAAATGTCCAACAAACTCCCACATTCCACGTCAAAGCGTGGTTCGGATGCTGTTGGATGCTGCACGCGAACGTTGCCCTGGCACAGTCCTTAACGAGCGCATTTGATCAGAGCTCATCCGCGTGGAAGGCATGGACAAGCTGATCCGTCAACCCCCTCGCTGCCCATGTCACACATCTCCATTGTACGCGGTACATCGCTTGCCGGATGCGGTGGCCAAAGCGCAGACTACATAGCCAGCTGTTCAGCTCATCTCCCCAATGCGAAAGTGGTTGCGGTCGCGCTTTGATAAGGTTTGCGCCATCTTGACGAGCGACGACCCGATGCTCTGGTCCACTTTCCCTTGCCACCAAAATGTAAACGCCCAGATGCCACGCCGCGTACGACAAGAGTTGCCACTTTTTCACACTGCGAGGGTACTCAGCGGCAAAGGGCTTGCTTCCCGCTCGAACGTCGAGTGCGATGTCAGCACGTCTGTTGTGATGTCTTGTGCCAGGCCGGAGGGGATCAAGCGCGTTACAAGTATAAAAATGCGGTTCTTTGCCACGGCCAACCCAAAATTCGTCCTTTACGCTTTCTTTCAAACGGTTTCCGCGTCCTCGCGATTTTCATCTTTCGTCACAGCGGTCAGCCGGTCTGACATTCCAATCAGAAGGGCAACCCGTTTTTTGAGAGCGCGCTTAAGATTGGCGCGCTCATCTCGTCCCGTCGCCTGGAGCCTGGAAAGTATCAAGTCATGGTCAAGAGATCTTCTGCATGGCTCCTTGCGGCCGTCGTGGCCGCACGAACGGCAGCTTTGCCTGTCTCGCCTTCTTCCAAGAGCTCTTCGAGGGTTTTGGCGACCACTCTCGTGGTTCGAGGTCTGCCCGGAGCCGAAGAGGGACTTGAGCTCGCCAAGATCGTGGGTCATGATGGTACTCACATCGTCAAATCTTCCAGCGTCGGGTCTTCAAGGGAGCAGCGCCTATCCCGAACTTCGAGCAGCAGCAACATGCAAGCGGTCCCACTGCCGTCGACCACGCCAACACTTCATAATCAGTACCCTAGCGTACCTGTCGCAATTGACGAGCATCAACGCTCGCCACTGACCTCTCCCAGGGCAGCATCTCGTCTGCACAAGGTGACGGAGGCTATCGTGCGACACCCCCTTCGAACCTCTTTGTGAGTCAGAAACCAACGCGTCGAGAGACATGCGCCTCGTTGACCCTTCCGCCGCTCCTCCGAAACTTTCCGCGTCTTCACAGCGGCCTGGCGGCGACCGGCGTAGCCGTTACAGCTGCTTATGAGGGTAGCCAGGTCTCTCTTAGAACTCGCAAAAGAAAGGCATATTATGATGCCTACGGGCATATCAACGGACGGGCGCTTTCTGGCGAGCTTGCGTCGTCGTCGGCATTGTTGCCGCGCGACCTGATCCCTGTCAGTCACACCGCGGGATCTACAGGCGTCAAAAAGGTGGGCGGCAGAGTCAAGACTGGTCTCAAGTGGGCTCTGTGAGTGATCTCGAAAGCGATGGTCCTGGTACCCGTAGACTAAGTGCGCGTCTTGATCTCCCGCAGAGGCTTGATTGCCGCAGCTGGTGCAACCGTCTCGGCTGAGCTGGGCTTCCGTCATTGGTCCAAGTCTCTCGCAGAAAAGCACGCTATACAGCAGTACAATAAGGAAGACCCCGCAAAAAAGGTTGACACGTGGTGCGAACGCCACAAGAGGGGAGATGGCAATTTCCAGAGCTGTTGGGAGGCTGGTCACGGACCGTCATCGGGCCAACCTCCCGGGTGGGTGGGCGGCACTTGGTGATGGCGACATTTGTGGTCTGATCGATGCTCTGCGCAGTCGAATCGGCGGCGAGAACACGATGGATACACGACGCATCTCAGGCTCGGAACTCGAGAAAGTAACATCAATACATGCTATATTCCGCCAAGCTGGATCGCTCCTGTGTTCGCCCTCGCTCGGTATACTTCACATCCACAGTGCCTCTCGCTGTCACCAGTGCGCTCTCGTCAAATGTAACATTGACGCTGTCGTGTAGCCGCGCATGAACGACTGTTCTGGACCACACACACACAGGGAGCGAGCGCAAGGCCTGGCCAGTCTGGCGAGGCCAGCAGGAAATTGGGCAATTTGGGGCACGTACAGCCGCAGCGGGTGTCACCTGGAGTGCGGCAAAGATCAGGAAAAAGGTCAAGCGCTCCAGCGATTATGTTATCCCCCAACGACAGAACGACCACGCGCCACAAGACAGCCGAGGTAACTTTTCTTGACAATGGCGACTCTGCGCACTGTTTCAATGACTGAACAGGCCGCTACAAGTGGCATTTGGGTGGTACCTAGAAGAGGGAAGGAATGGCAGAAGTACGAGGAATGACCTAGCAATGCGTAATGCCTCACACGCAAATGGCTCCTCTGATGATGGTGGATGGAGAGCCACCAGAGGTCTTCAAGACAAGTGGTGCGCGAGTAAGCGGAAACGATTGACTACAAGCGTGCAGAGGAACGTCTCACTATGTCTCACGCGTAGCATGAACAACATCATCGCTAGGAGCGTGGGTGGCCTTCACTTGGAGATCCATGCGGGTCTCGACCTCGGAAGCTCAACAGAGCAAATGGACGCTCCAAAGCGTCGCCATGGATGTGAAATTGAAGGCGTCCCATGGACCGTCAGCAACTTGCCGTACCCCAAACACGTCCACTGCACGGTGCGATACACTACAAAGCCCAGCAAATGGGCTTGCATCGCGCCAGCTGTTCTCGATGCGAATGATAATCTCCCAACAAAGCGCAGGAGAAAGAGATCGAGATAGCACGGTACAGTCTCTGTAAGCGGACTTCTTCAGTAGAGCTTGTACATCTCAGGTACCCAGTCTCCACAAATTCCTCTTTGATCAGGTCGCGGGTGTGCTGCAGAACCGTCAAAGTCTGACGCTGCTGCTCTCCGATGATTTTGATGGACTTATCAATGCCCTGGTCCAGCTTGTTGCAAAACTGAGCATTGAAGAGCTCATGACTCTTGCAGACTTGCAGTTGAGTTGTCGATAACTCGGCTTCAACAGTTGCAGCGCCAACTACCAGCACTCAAGGCACTTCAAGCTCTTTGGTCTTGCGCTTCAATTCCTTGTTCTCTGCGCAAAGAGCAGCAAGGTCCATCTCTTGGCGCTTGCAAAGAGACACAAGTTCAGCATTGTGTTGGGCTTGAATCTGGGCAAGCTTGCCACTGAAAGTGAGGCAGAGACGCTGCATCTCCTGATGCTGTTCAGCAATGATCTGCTGAGTCTGAGCATGAAGAGAGTGTTGAACATCCTGCCAATGGCAAATGAACCCAATGTGGGTGTTGCTGAGCAAAAGAGCAATGGTGCAATGTCAGCGGAGAGTCCGCAATTACATGAGAAGTAGTATGCGCTGAGGTAGCTCAGGACCTTTGCAATCTACTCACACCATGAGAACCGCAGGAATGCCAACAATGCTGCTTCCTTCCATTTCATAGAGAGCATTGAAGCAATGGTCTTCAAGACCCCTTCCTTCCAATTGTCAGAGAGCGCCATAACCATCTGGGAGCCTTTCTGCTTCCAAGAAGGTATTGTTGACCAACAAATCCAGTTCTTCTTGGTGCTTGCATGCCAGAGTTTGGCACCAAGATCACCTAAGACGTCCATGAACTTGATTGGTGTTGGAGGCAGTGGTGCATAATTGAGAGGCAGCGGAGAGAAGCCTTTCTGCTTCCAAGAAGCTGGTATTGTTGACCTGCAGATCCAGTCCTTCAACCCGCAGATCCAGTCCTTGTTGGCGCTAAGGACTACATGCCAGAATTTGGCCCCAAGGTCACCTAAAACGTCCGTGAACTTGATTGGCGTTGGAGGCATTGGTGGATGATCGAGAGACGGCAAAAGAAGGTATGTTTCACAAAGTTTGAGACACCAAGCTTGGCCTTGTCTAGCCAATGGAGAGGGGGAATCTCGATGGTGACTGTTGGGCAGAGCTTGAGGTAGTCCACCAGCCATTCTGGAACTTTGTTGGGATGACGGGCCCACTCGGTCAGCTCATCTCCAGCAAAGTGCCATAGAGTGATCATTGTCACTGCTACAGCAGCAAGCACCAGTCCAAAGATGAGGTACTTGCTCCATTGAAACTTGCTGGCAAGCTTCAGGCGCTCATTCTCTGATGCAAGCACCTCTACCTTCTCCTCCAGCTCTTCACACTTGATTTGAACCTCCTTTTGGAGGTGCTCCTGGTCAGCCTTGTGCTGAGCCAAGGCAGCTTGGATCAGCTTGTTTACCTGGTCTCTACTCGCATGTCTCTTCCTGCTACCTTTCCCTTGCCAAATTGTCTGCAGATTTGGTGCTCAGATGCTCCTTTGCACTTAGGGTAAGCATGAGTGGGGCTACTCCTCCCAAGCTCAGGTGGCATGCAAAATGCTCCGGCTAGGCCTTGTGCATTGCTACACAAGCTCTCTGCCCTTGCAACCCACTCCTGTTAGCTTATACAATGCACAAGCGGCTGCTGCAGTGCGGTCTTAGTCAGCAGCTTGATGCCAGAACCCTCCAATGGCCCCTGAGACTCCTCCTGTTGCCTGTGCTTTTGCAGCAGAGTTTGGAGACCTGCGTACAACTTCATGCCTTGCAGCTTGCTGCTGGGAATGCGCAATGAGGATACAGGCAGGCGCAAGGGGCTAGTGGTGGGAGAAAGCTTTGGCAAAGCAGGTCTTCCAGAAGAGGCAGCAGAAAACCCAGGGGTCTGTGTAGCGGGCATGCCCAATGGCTTGAATGGAGAAGGTGTTGCAGGGGAGGGTTTCTTCTCTCCGGACTTGGTGAGAGCCCAGATCTGCTCAGCGAGCAATGTGGACTGTCCGGGAGATGCGGCAAAGAAGGGCTCCATTGCGGTCAGGCCAAGGCTGGCCATTCTTGCTCTTGCAACTTGGACATTGCTTGTTGTGGTTCCCGCGGGACTGGCCCACGGTCCAATGGAAGCTCTTGAGAAGTGATAGGACTTTGCAACATTGTGCAAAATGAGGGGTCTTGGGACAGAGAGCAATTTGTGATGAGTGGGGGGAAAGGCAGATTGATGAGTGCGCTTGTGACGTAAGTGATTGCGCCCTGCGCTGTGCAAACAGACTTTGGTACTCCATCTTGCTTGCATTGTGACAAAGTCATCCACATCCACCAGAAGTTGATGGTGGGAGCCCACACTGGAGTCCTGATTGTACCCTGCGCTGTGCAAACAGACTTCAGTGGTCCATTTTGCTTGCATTGTGACAAGCTCATTCCCAGCCACAAGAAGTCCACAATAAATACTCAGCAATGTTGTTAGTGGCTCTCCCACTCAAGGGGCGCCCTCAGCAGCTCCAGCTGATCTTGCCTGGATCCACACAAGCAAAGCAGCTTGTCTGGGGCAACAAGATCCTTGAGAGCAAGCAGACTACAACAGGGTGGGTCTGCGCCAGTGCCACGCCTTGATGATGTGCTGTGCTGACGTTGAAACACACCCTATCCCGGGTCTACAGGCAAAGGATCCAGATCGTCCGTCTTCCTACCTGGCCTACCTCTTCGCTTGCCTCAACATTGAGGATGTGCAAGTCTTGCCTCTGTGCTTGCTGCCAGATTGGTGTGGCGCCAAGGAGCTCCACACCATCAAGCACATGTTCATCATGGCTTGCAGAGGCATCATGCGTCTTGCCAACACCTCGCCTGGCTCAGCTGCACCCAATGTTGAGCCTGCTCATCGGCCAGACGAGGAGGAGGAGGAGAACAAGAAGTAGGGGTGAGCCAACAAGCTACTGTGATCTCGATTGTCCCTGTGACTGACCATATGAACCTGTGCTCAACGAGTGATTTGCAGGGCTTCTCAACCTGAGCGTACAAATGGGCTTTGCAACTTGACCATGCAAATGTTCATGTCAATTGGATCCAAATTGTGCATCGCGAATAGTGGGTTGTGAATCCTGAATTGTGGTTGCATGAGCGTCAAAGCGCTAGATCCTGCCAAGGCCCTTCCTGCTGGTTGCGCTTGTCCAGACAAATTGTGAAGGCTGGAAGACCACATTGTTCACCAGGCGCAATGTTGCTAACCAGCTTTGCCTTCATCACAAAGTGGTCCTGAATGATCTCTGCCAAGTTGACATCCATTTGATCTGCAGCCTGTTGCACCAGGTACATCTCCATTGCTCCCTGCGCTTTCTCATGGTGATGCACGTCCATCATCAAAGCTCAAAGTTAGCTTCCGACAAGGGCCCTTCTTGCTGGTCGCACTCAACCAAAAGAACTGTGAACATATGACAACCGTATCTCTCCCCAGGCGCAATATTGCTGACCACCTTTGCCTTGATTACAAAGTGGTCCTGGTGTCTTGCCCTTTGCATGTTGCTGTTAGACCATCAGACTTTTGCAGCATCAGGCGCCCCAGCCTGGCCTTGGGCTAGGAGCAGGAGAGGATCCAGAGGTTCTGCTTGCTTGCGTTTGTCTATTCAGGGAGGGTGCGCCAAAACAGGCAGTTGGGAAGGGGAGTGATGGAAAAGGCAAAGGGAAGGAGGCAGAAAGTGTTGTGAGAAGTGATCAAATTTTTGACAAGTAGGAGCTTGACTGAAGGAGGCCTGGCCGTTCTTGCTCTCGCAACTTGAATGTCACTTGTTGTGGTTTCCGCCAGACTTGCCCACTCATTGGGGAGGTCCAATGGAAGTTCTTGAGAAGTGACAGGAATTTGCTGCATTGTGCAAAACAACGGGGTTTGGGGTGGAGAGCAATTTGTGATGAGTGGGGGGAAGGCAGGATTCTTTGGGCTTCTGGATCAGATTGATCATAATAGAAGACCTTGGCTGTGAGTCCCCTCCAGTGGTGCATGTTTGCCTGAAGGAGCCTGCAAGTTGCGTTGGAGAGGTGTTCCGTCTGAAGCAACCAAGTGGTCTCTTGCTCCATATTGATGGCACCGTCCCTTGTCAACTTTGCAAGGCACACACAACAAATTTCACCATGATCCTTCTGGCAGCCGCACTGATGCTCCAAGAGGGATTGGGGGATTGAGCTGAGGTGGCCAGTCCCCTTCATGGTTTGCAAAATGTTGGCCGGCAGAGGGATTGCTTGCGCAATCATTGTCCACTTCCTCAGCTTGAGCATGGGCACGTCACACAGACAAGAGAATGTGACTTAAGAAGCCAGCACTTGCTGGATTGAGGCAGCTCTTGGCTTGTTTTATCAAGGATGGAGAGGCCCAGGCGCAGGCTGCCTGTGCAGCTCATGCTCAGCCAGGGGGAGTGATGGCGCTTGAAACCCCAACCACAATGTAGTTTGACACTTTGGAAACCATTCTCACTTGGCAGGGAAATGCCATTCAGCGCAAAGATCTTCTTGTAGGACTCATTTTCATCAGTGGTCTGCTTCAAGTAGCAATCAATGATGGTCATCACCACCAGCACTGCTTCAAGTGATAGAAATGCAGCCCTTGAGGTGGAGCGCAAAAAGGCTATTGAAGCCCTTTAGCTTGCTGCTTGTCAGTGCAAGGGCCACAAGGCAGGCTGGCTACAAAGATGCAAGTTGTCAGCGCCAAGGTCGGAGAGATCGCGAGTCTCCACGGGGCCAAAGCTGACGTCCTTGAGAAGCAAGTGAGCAGCCTCAACACCGCCGGAGAGGTCACCAAAATGTCCACGCGCACCACCTGCGATGTTTTGGTTGCCTTGGAGGTGGTCCAGCAAGAGGCTGCCCAGAACCTGGCCGTCATGATGCAAGGCATTCAAGCCTTGTCACATGAGGACAAGGAGTGTTGGGCCGCTCTCGAGCTGCGTGTTCTGGACATGGGCAAAACAGTTCAAACCCAGACAAGGGAGAACAATAGGCTCGAGAACAAGTTCAAAGAGCTGGCTACAAAGATGCAAGTTGTCAGCGCCAAGGTTGGAGAGATCAGAGGGGGTAGAGATTTGACCTCATATCCAACTCCTCCTTGCGGCGCAGCACAAGCTTTGTGGCCCTGGTCACCTTTTTTTCCCCATTGCGCTGCTTGCGCTCAAACTTTGCACGCGCCTCTTTGTTCTCACCCAGTATGCTCCTGTAAGCCGCACCGTTCTTCCACATCAGGTGAATCAGCTCCAATTCCTTCTTTGCTTCCACTTCTTTGGCCTTGAGAGCGGCAAGCTCATTGTCCACAGGCTTTGGTGGAGCAACAGGTGGAGAAGGGCGCGCCTTCACAACAGGAAGAATGAAGGCGGGACACTTCTTCTTGGGCTTGGGCAGGGGGTCAATGATGGCCTGCAACCATGACAGTGATCTGAGAAGTGGACTCATTTGATGCAAATAATTGGAGACTCACTCTCAAATGCTGAATCTGTGCTGGGTGCTTTTTCCTTGCCCGCCATCCCAGGTAATAGGCTCATGAGCTCACTCTCTCCCTTGCTCCAGGCAGCATGACAAGTTGAAGCTACATTCCAGCCGTGATAATTGTTGTCCTTGTTGATGCCAAATAGCCCGCGGGTCAGGATGGTGCTAGCCTGTCTTCCGTTTGTGGTGATCAGAGCGGCGCTGCGGCCAGCACAAGCGCACACCCCTTGATGACCAAGTACGCAAGAGCAAAGATCAATCGTCTCTGCTGATCTTTCAATTGATTAGGCCTTAACTCATTGTCTCTGCTGCTTGATTCTCCCTCTCACCTACCTCAAAGCTGACTGGTCCTCAATCTCTCTCTCTCTCATCTTGTTGCTACTCTGTACCATCATCCTTTTCCCTGTACCATCATCTCTCCATTTGCCCCTGTACATCTCCTCCTGTGCTCTCTCTTCACAATGTCACCTGTCGCAAGACCTACCCCCAGGCGCACGTGCTTGTCGTGATACTCCCCTACAAACCCCTGTCCCCAACAAAGCGCTGCAAATTTGCAGGCTTCCCCTCCCCAAGAATGCAAGTCTTCTGCAGAAGATTTGCCCGATGTTTATAACCCCACCACATTGCAATCTTCCTCCTCTGCCCCTTGCCTCTGCACACCTCTAATGCCAACGGAAGGAGGTGAGCTGTAGACCCTCCCAATAGCTTGCGCTCTCATTGCTCCCCAACAAGTGACTGCGCAATGGCAAACTCCTCTAAGCGTGCAAAAGCTGATCACAGGCGACGCACCTGTTTGCATTCCCGTTCACAACCTTGTACTTGTCATGGTCCCTCACGCTCTTGCTTGCGCTTGTTTTCTCCCCGCCCTTGCCACCGTCGCTTGCGCTCCCGCTTGCGTAGCTGTCAGAGACATTCCTGCTCACGTTTTCGCTCACCCAGGAACCACATGTCCAAGCGCAGGAACAAGAATTGGAACGGCCGTTCCAATGAAGCCCTTGTCTTGTGGCTGAAACATCTCAGGACGCACCACCATTGCCAACTTGCACTGCTCCAAAGAGTCTTGCAGTTGCAAGCGGTGGAGGCAACGTCAAATCAAGTCAACTTGCTTTTCTTGCACATCTTTGGAAATGCAAAATGATTACATGTTGAAGCGCGGCAATGAGCGTGCAAGCAGAGAAGGAGCATACTCTGGTCAGCTTCATGCTGGACTATAGCTTCTGTGCAATGTGCACTTTTGGTCCGCACCATACTCACATGGACATCTTCAGGATTCAGCAATCAACACACAGCAGAGCATCCCAGGCAACTGTGAAACACCTCAGGACGCACCACAGGAACATCTTGATTGCCAGTTGCACAGGCCAAGCAGTGAATCCTGAGATGTTTCAAAGTCCCTTGCTTTCTGGCTGGCCACAACATCTGGCGTTCCAGCTGCACAGCAAGATCAAAGAGCAGTTCTTCTTTCTGGGTCCCTCCTCGAGCATCTGAATGCCTTCTCTTTGGGTGCGGGGACATTGCCGACCTGCCCAAGTTGCTGCGCTGACGTCAGTCCGCTCGGAGGGTCCTATGTGCATGTACACATCCGCCCTAGAATGCCAGACCCGTCACACGTGTACGCGTACCCAAGCTGCCTAAAATCATTTCGCCCTTGCCACCCGTCGGTCGTGATCATTGTTCACGCTGGCAGTGAGCTTGCCTTGGCCGGCAAAAATGAGTGTATACGCTAAATTTGAAGATGCCATAGATCACCCCGTTGCTGCATCTAATAGCAGCTTCGCTAACCCCTACGGTAACGTCAAGTGACGCGTGCGCAACTTGAACCAGAACACGCCGAACGTGAGTGTTGAAGTCTTAAACAGTGGCTGGCAGCAAACTTTGCAGGCGAAGCAGCCATGCAAAAGGAAAAGTCTGTGAACTCATGAGTGCTCATCGAGAACCTGCTGACATTTTGAGCTTTGCCCCTCGATCCCTCTGTTTTCCTCTTCTTCTCCGCCGGCTATCTGACCGACATTGGTCTGGACGCTCCTACTTGTATGAAGCTTGACGTGTTTGTGCTTGTGTCTCTGCGAGTTAGAGTGCAATGTATGCGATGGTGAACTGTGTACGCGTACGCAGAAGAAGCGATAGTACTGCCGTTGCAGGCTCACAGCAGCACGCACAAGTGTTGATGCCGATGCAGCTGTATTACAAAGTCACTCGGTGCCAACGACACATAAATCAATTTTCTATTGTTGAAGGAGGTTCGTGGGAAGAGAAAGGCTTCGCAATCAAACACACCGCGAGATAGTGCAGCTTCATTGAGCAGCACAAAGCTACGGCTTAGCCCTACTCGCAGATTTGTTCTCATACGCGTCACAAGCTCGACGAAAGGGATATATCAACAGTTACACGAACACAATTTCACGATCACGGCGTTTTACGGCGTTTGGCGAATCTCTCCGCAAATGACGTCAATAAATTGCCTCATGACTGGGTATGTGACTCGATATCCACTCCAAATTCAAGCGAGGATTGTTGGGTCTTTGCTTTCGATCACTGTGGTTATATTGCTTCTCACTGGAGATCGACGATTCTCAATACAGAACAAATGGCGTAGAGTACAAGACTAGAACAGCTCGGTACATTCGAGAATTTAGTGTTGCTCTCTCTGCACTGAAGATGAACGCGAAGAGAATCACTGCGTGCGAACGGGTCTAGTGCGTCATATTCACTCCTCGTCATTCGACCGACTCATGTTCTGAGACGGGAGAACTTCACCGTCATTGGCTCTGGGCGAAAAAAAGGTTGCCTTCTCACTGGGCCATCAGTCTGGAAATTGCAATTGCCCAGCGAGGCTGCATGCACTGATGAAACCAAAACACCTCCTACATTCACAGATGGTCAATGCCAAGTCGGGAGACCGTGTTTTGACCTGCGTTTCTAAGACGAACAGGGTCAATTTGATTTCGTTCCCTTTTTCGTCATCATGAGACGTTTTGCCATTTGCGCTACTGAGGTTAATGGTAAACACGCAAGACTATATATCCTGTCTAGAGAGTGCCAGCCGAAATGGCGAAGTGACTTGAATTCGTTTCTGCTAGCGGCGATGCGTTCAAACCTGCCTGAAATATTAAAGGTAAATTTTATGTGTTACTGTATTTGCCCCCTGTACGAAACGGTACGATGGCTACAGGCTTCCTTAGTTTGCGTGGTAATCAGAAAAATAGCAAATTTTTCTCCAGTCCCCTCGTTTCGGACTAAAGGTACCGGTAGTTTTTCTTCCTCTGAGCGCCAGCATGTACTGATGTGAAGAGACGGGCGGAACTTTGGAAAGAACGAGTTGACGGGGCACTGCAGCCATATACAGGAACGTCGTTTGCGATGCCAGACACAGCGTCCGACGAGCTTTGCGTCTACTACGAAAACACGTCGAGATGCGCCGGCACGTTACGTCAGTGCGCTGCTACGGCGAACTAACCCCAGTTGTGACGAATCTTTGGCTAATTCCGACGGGTCCCATAGGAATGCATTAGCATACTTGTTGAAGCGATGGATTCACACGTGACGAGACAATGGCCAAATTGCCTTATCAGTGGAACCTCAGCGGTCGTTGCATGAATCTTGCAGAACCAAACTTTAGGAACGTACTCACATTGAGGCCGAGTCCATTGGCACACTTTCAGAAAATTTGAGACGATTTTTCCGCGATAGTTGATTCGACGGAACAAGCGGTAGTCGGAACAAAGTCGTTACGCATGTCGAGCTCATCCGTGCGGTATATGTAGGCTTCTCGAAGTTGCACGCTATGCTCTTGTATATTGTCAACACCCCATCAGACTGGATGTGATAACCTTCTTGGTCGCTATACGATGTGCATTATTTAAAAATGACGATGGACAAGTGCTAGCGAGCCACCTCGGCATCGCAACCCGAGCTTGTATTGGATTGTTTCTGAGGTGCAGCGAGAGTTGACAAAACAAAAAGAACAACCGTCAGGAGTCGCGAATTAGCCGAGACAAAATCTCATGGCGGTGCAAGGCCGAAAGACGCGCGCGTGTTCCAAGTGGCTGCGTGTGTTGGGCGTTGCTGCTATGAAATTAAGCTTTTTCTGTCGAGATGAAGCAGCCGCCTACTCAAGCGTGCACTTGCCAACTACTTCAAAAAATCATGCATCGTAGCTGAGTGGACTCTTAGACAGCTGTACGATGTATTGACTTTGCGTTGAGGCAGAAATGAGCTGTGGTGTGACGTTGTAGTGCTAGTCGTGGCTACATGTACACAGTCACCATTTTCCAATCTCGCGTTTGGATATTTTCCTGAACATTATTAAGGACGCGAATACAGTCGTCGCTCATAATTTGCGAGCGAGCAGCCTCTCTGGTCAATTTTTGAATCTGCCAACGATTAGCCTGCCCCCTTCAGCTTTTGGATCATCAGATGTTAACACATCAAACATATCATCCGTGTTTGTGTGAGCAACGATGCCACTCGTCACCACTTCTTAACGTCTCTTCTGAGCTTGGGATGACAGAGCTGCGAAGACCTTGCGCCGAATTTGCCCAGTCATCTCGTCCTCAAGCAGCTGTATGACCGCCCTTTGCGTCAAAGAGCTACCTTGGCCGGCTGAACGCTAGCGCAGCCCCGAGCGCGAGACCTGAATACACTACTGATGTCTAGCACCTTGTGACCGCTTTTGTCAAGATGCTTGGACGACGGTGGGAGGAGTGCCTCGAGCTGTCATGCAGGCACACAGAACAGAGCTGCAAGCAGCTTTCATCAGGCATGTCCATCAGCACCCAAGAGACTGGTCAGAACCATTGCCTTGCAGTTTACGCTATGCAAATCCCAGCAGCAGGCAATGCCAGGTGAGTACAGGCCAATCAGGAGCGCAGAGGCGGAACCAAATGAGAGCAGCTTGTTTCTGCGTGTCTGATTGGCCACTGAAGACCAGTGTATTGTTCACAAACAGCTTGTTCTGCGCCAATCGCAACCACACTAGTCGTGTTGTCCACTCTGACAGCGACTGACCCTCAATTCCCATTTTTCCCTTCGTGTAAAGATGCCATGCCTACCGAGCTCAGATTTTGCACATACCATCATGTCGATTCAGCGCAAGTCAACGGAAGCGCTTTGGTACACAGGCTTACTGCACCAGCGTCACCGCAAAGATCAGCTGCTGTGTAGCTGCTATGAGGTCGCGCCTTGTCGTGTGCAGCCAAGCGCACCTCAGTGTCGCCTCCAAGCCTTGCGCCTGCTATCCTTTTGTCACAATCACTGTGGGTCTAGCTTTGCCGCACATTCGTAAGGTTCGACTCAAGATGGAGCTCATGTCGAATGCGTGCCACGAAGCTCCTGTTTACTCGCAACAGTGAGCACGATTAGGAAACCCAACGAAAGTTGTCTCGGTCTGCTGCTACATTATGTTCTACTTGACAGTCGAAAAGCCCGTGGTGTCATGGACTTGGGTCACAGCGCAATCTGCAATGGCTAGAAAAGAAGGCTGCGCTGCACTGATACCTCTAGGTCATCCGAGCCGAAAGTAAACCAGACTGGGTGGGACGAGCGCCAGACCGTCGGAAAATTAGGTGGAAAAAGATCTTTTGCAACGCAGAGAGCCGCTGTATCAGTCCTTGGACTAGACAAGATTTAGGAGCACAAGAGCATACAGATGACTATGGTTGCCTGCCCACCAGACGTCCCGAAGCACAGCCCGTGGGCTTTACCGTGCAGGTAAATCAGCTGGTCGTTCAAGCGGCAGTTTGAGCAGTAGCTATCGCCTTGAAGACAGACGCTGTGATTGGAGCAATATCATCATAATGGGGTTTGCGAAGGAGTTCGTCCAGCGCGAGCTGTTGATCCCACTTGACGGTGCTCTCGCTGAAAGTCTCCTCGACTGTATTCTCTGATTTGGCGCCTGGAACGCTTTTGAGAAGGATGTCGCGAAGTTCCGAATTCGTGACATTTCTTCCTGCCATCACATATCGCTTGCCAGCGCTCGAGGGCGTCAAGAGGGCTGCAATATGCGCTTCGACGATCTCCGGCAGGGTGACCCAGGACAGCCAGGCAGCCGGCACTTTGGTGACGGGATCAGCGGTAGACTTTGAGGTGGCAAAGTGAAACGCGATCCCAGGGGTGCTGACCGAGGGAGGCCCGACACGTGCGCTTCCGATGGTTGCACCAGGTAAGATGGTCGTCAAGCGGAAGGGGTTGCCAGCTGCCTTGAGCGTCGCCCATGCAGCCTTTTCCGCGAGCGCCTTGGAGGCGGTGTAGGCGAGCATGGCATTGTCAGACGCTGCAATCTCCTCGTAGGTCGCCTTGCCATAGTCTGAAGCGCCGAGAGTAGTGTTGCGCTCATCGACCCAGGACGTGGTGAGAGCGGCCGCCGAAGACGTCAAGACGAGCTTTGAGAATTGAGGCGCGACGGCGCGATGTGAGCTGCAATGCTCGCTTTCCGCTTGCGCCGGTCGTTCGCTCGTGCTCACATGTTTGACTGTGCCATTCTTGACTGCACTGGATACGATACCTCTGGCAGCCTCGATGGCAGAATCCAAGCCACTTTTGGCATTGCCTACGCAAGCACAATACCCATGAGCCGGATGTTATGCTCTGGCGCATGATCGGTCCATCCACTCACCAGTCGCAGCGATGCCCTCTGCGAAGTGCGGCACAAGCGGAGAGGTGGTGTGGATGATGCCGTCGATGCCACCTTGCACAGCCTCATCGTATGCGCCTGAGGCGGTAATATCGGGAACGATGGCGTAGTCGAGACGCGTCCCGTCGTACTCTGCAAAAGCGGTCTTTAGCTCGTCTACACGCTGCTGAGAGCGAACGGTGCCTCGGACACGCAGCTTCTTGTCCAGTAAAGACTGGATGAGGGCTGCGCCCAAGAAACCATTTGCGCCAGTGACGAGGACGTAGGAGGGTGGGGATGGAATGTTTGCCATCTTGATGCGACTACTCGTGATGGCGTGGTCTCTTGAAAGGCTTCGCGCTCAGAGTGGCTTTGCAGATGGCCAAGAAGCTGGATCAAGCTAGGGAAAAGCATTCTCTGAAGGTTGGACTTGCCCATCCATTTTATATGTTTGGCTGGAGCATCCAGCAGCGTCGTTCCACGTCGACACCAGATGATGAACATCGAGTTCATCCTTTGTGACGACGGGGAGCAAAGTTGCCTTGTCTAGTCAGAGTCGCGGACGATCCGAATGGGTCTCTGCCCTGTCCAGTTTGGTGGTGACTGAGAAGTGAAGACTTGGGGAGCTGTGATTGCTGGACTCTTGCGGCCGTAAGCGAGCTTGACAGTGGCCGGCGTGCACGCGTGTCATGTGACACCGCCGACGCTTCCGTGGCTCGGCGGCTCGGCGTTCCAACGATGCACGCTTCGTGGCGGCGGCCTCAGAGTGACACGAATTGATGAATGGGAGGAAGGGAGGGCGCAGTTCGAC